AAGACTAAAAAAATCACTAGGGTGTGCCAAAGGGAACAAGGACTTCCAACCACCTCCCAGTGTGATCGAACATACTCAACTCTCATAGGTTTCTCTGAAAAGACTTTGACTCAGTCCTACATAAATACTTCTAAAACACTGCAGCTGAACAGTTCTGCAAAATATTGAGTAATAAGCAAATTGAACTGTGTATTTATAAATTAAAGTGCCACTAATTTGAGCCCTTAGGCAGAAGGGACCAGAAAAAGAGAATCAAAATCACATCCCTTTTCCTTTATATTTAAAAATGTCATCTTGGGCCTGCATATGTTTGTAGTTGGCTAATTTACCCATAAGAATTTCTCCTTAACCCCAGGGGGAAAAAAACAAAAAAAAAATTCTGCAATTACAGGGTCATCTACTACAAGAACGCACACAGCATTTTCTTTCTTTACCCTATATATGATGCAAGGAACAGCCTCAAAAAGAGGCACTATAAATTATCCATAAACCACATCAGGAATAACTGTAAAGATCTGCTGAAAGGTCTTAAACGTTCCTGAATCTGTCCCACATTCCTTTGCCCCATTTCCCCGTAGGACAGTGCAGTTCAGCGTACAAACTCAAACCGTTTCAGAGGAGCTGAGGGCAAATAAAGACTTTTTTTGGCACAGGTCCTCCCTCCCCCATGATTTCCCAGTGAATTCTTTTCACTGTTTGCTACTGAGAAGAGACTATTAAAGCTGAAAGACTGGACTTCAGAGCTTTCAAACCTTACTACTAGCTTCAGAGTCATCATTTCTTCTCTCACTTCCCCCCCCACTATCTTCTTCTCCAAATCATCTCTGCCCCTCCCTGTACCACAGTGAAACAAAGAAAACAATATGCAAGTAAAGCACTTAAAAAAAAAAAATATTTTTTTTTAACATTTTTCTTCCAGCTACTCAAGATTTCTGAGCTCTTGGGACTTGTTCTATTTGCTGAGGCTGTAATAAGCTTTTTACAAAAGCTTACAAGCTGATTACAAGTTTGACATGGGAACATTCAACCCCATCCTAGTAGCCTGGAGAGATCTGCCTGAATTTTTAGACATGCTATTTTGTTAAACAAAATTCTTTTTTTTGGAAGTTTTCAAGCAAACCAATTTAAACCTGGCATTTGGCAGAGAAGAGTCTTTTCAGGACAGGATGTACTCACGTTTCAGAATTCTTCCTGACTTCCCCTGCTTTTTCACCATTATTCATGGAGTCCAAACTAATTTCCCCCATTGCTGTTTGGGGTTATGCAGGAAGGCCACATGCCAGCCGCTTCTCACGCCAGGACCTCCTGCCCCACACAGTCCCATAGCTGGGGGACATCCTCAACACAAGCCAACACACGTGTCTCACACATCACATTTCTGATCATTTGGGAGGCCTGCCTTCAGCACGCAGCCCAAAAGGATTCGTCTGACTGGCCGGTCCCCACCAGCCAAGGCAGGCGCTTGGCCCTCTGCCTGCCACGGGACAAACCTGAACCTTGTTTAAAAATCCTTTACCAAAAGATTGAATTAAACACCTCCCACTGTCAATGTGAAACAGGCTCCAGGCTGCTGCCAAAGTTCACCCAGTTCTTCCAGGTCTAAAAATAAGCCTGATGTGGGAATCAAAAGGTGGCCAGAAAAGATGCTACCCACTTCATTCCTTATGCGCTATTTGTTACAGAAACCACAACCGCACTGCTCTGAAGCTCAGAAAGAGCCTTTGATCTTTATCTACACTGGGGAAAATTTCACTTTTAGAATTCGCCTTCAGATTGAGTCGGTAAAAATAGGCCACAGACCTTAAGGGCCTGCACTGCAACTTAATGATGGTTTTAATGAGGGTTTAAACTGGACCAGTACAGCACTGCATGGTTGTGATTTTTACTCATAACATGTGAATCTAACTTCACATTCCCTGGGTATTACTTTTTTTAATTTATTTTTGTTTTTAAATAAAGGTTCATCCTTTGGGACTTCGCTTATGTTACTGGATTGTATCTGATGAATGCACAAGACCTAAGAACGTTCCCCTTCATGCTGCATCTAACATGCAAAAAGAGCCGTGTGCCTTCGGAAGAGGCAGCAGAAGACATTGTCGTGGCTCCACATGACATCCAGGCTCAAACACGGGGCAGAAAGACTCCGTGGTCCTTGAGTGGAAAGGCTCTGCAGGAGGAATTGCAGGGAGTGTTTTAACTCCTTATTACACCCAGTGCTGAAGTACTTGCAATGATTATAGTTACACATCTCATGACTCTGGCAACGTGGAGTCTGTTGCAACACTTCTTTCCCCAAAAGCCTCTCCTGTCCCCGTGATTAAGTACACAAATAACATTCACAGCGTAAAGCCTGTTTTCAGTTGCTTGTAACTTTCAAAAAATTCCCCTTAGGGGCTGAAATGTTCTAAGTTTGATCTAAGCCCAGAGGCGACTTTTTTCCCCCCTCCAACCAACCAGCTTGGAAACATGCATTTGGTTACCCTTCAACAGTGGGAAAGTGAGAAAATAGATGATTCAGCGGTTTAAGACTCTTCCTTTCACGGGTGTTCAGAGACTGCCTTGGGGAATAGAAGGAGAGGGGAAGGATGGGGGTGGCAGGGTAGGAAAAACAAAACTCGAGATGCAAGCGCTACATGGAGGGACTGAGGGAATAGCAAGGTTGGTCCAGTTGTAATCAATTAAATAACTTCCCAGACAATGTAAAGCAACTCTACAAAATTAGTCCTTCCAGCTCCAGAGAAGAAAATAATTTTCTGGGCTCAGATGGACTCGGGCTACAAAGAGCTAGCTCTTTTAGATGATGCTTGATCAGGAAGCAGTCAAAGAGATCTTTGTGTATATATCCATATAAAATTTGGTATCTCTCATCTCTGTCATACTGTTACCAAAAAAGAAGTGTGACTAAGGAAGCTTGAATGCTACATCAGTATGGCTTTCCAGCCCTCTCAGCCTCAAGTCTCTTAGGGTTATTTTCTTTTCACAGGTCATCTTTTATTTCATGCCCATCATAGGTGGCTATTTTAAGGGGCTATAGAGAGGTGCTGAATGCTGATAAGGCAAATCCTGTATCCCTTAATCCACTGCTAAATCACTCTGCCAGGCTTCAAGGGTACCAGACAGATGGAGTGCACGAGGAAACTGCCCACAGGCTGGCTACTTCAACCCCAGCTCATCTTTAATCCAGAAAGGTTTTGTTCTGGTATTTTAATCATTGATTGACTGGGAACTTTCTTCCATGCTGGGTTAGGTAAAACATCCATATGTCAGAGGTACTGGGGAATTCGTGAGGCTGTAGATCATAGGAGTGGTGTGAGACAGGATGTGTCTCAAGGGAACCAAGGAAGCCATAAGGAATGTAAAAAGTCACAGGGTTAAAGCCACATTAAGACAGCTGTTATGCTAATGAGAGTTCTGCTTTTCTTCTAGCTGTGGGTCATTGATTTAGAAAAACACGAACAAGGTCTTTTTCATTTTATCGTATTTTTCCGCTGAAGCTCGCATAGCCCAAACCATCATATCCTAGATCCCATTCGCCTTGCTAACAGAACCTGTGTAGGAAGTTATCTTTTGTTATGTTTGTGCGTGGATGATTCCCAGGGCTTGATTTGGTCTTACCTGGCCCAAGTCTACATATGAAGCTGTTTTGCAAGCATTTCACTCAGTAAGCATGTTAAAAAGTGTCATGCACCACTGACTTTGCCTTCCACACAAATTCACCCATACATCTGATTTTCTCTCACGGTCATAACAAACACTTACAAGAAATGTGGTGCGAAGTTTTCTGCAAAAACATTTAGCAGGTAAAACTGAAAAAGACTGGACCTTTCAAGATAGATACTCAAAAATACAGCCATGCTGCCATAGGCATGCTTGTCTTAGAAAGTCAGAGGGATATTTTGTATTGCTTATTTCAGTTTGCAGAGTCTGAATGCCTCAGGCTAAGCTTCAAAGGTCAAAACATAAAAACAGTGTCTCACCAAAGCAACCAAATTCACCTGTATCCTTGGTTAGATCACAACTTACCACTCATTTCTCTTCCTTGGTTAGATCACAAGCTACAACATTTTGCCCGTCACCCAACCGCACATTTGCTTATGAACACTTGCAACTCGGACTGATTTAAACAGGGTGTGCTTTTCCAAATGACTCTTAGATGTCAAGCAGTGAAAGAGCAGCAGAGGATTCTGCCTGCGGTATTAACATTTCACAGGACATGCTTCTTTGCTGTGAAACCGAGTAAGTCCTAACCTGAACCTGAACTCCAGGGTGAATTTTATTCCAGAATTATTTGGCTGCTATTTGAACTTTTCTGGACATCTGAAAATCGAGGTGGTTTTTTTTTTTTTTTTTTTTAATTTAAAGCAACTCCATGGTTTATTCCTCCAGCACATTAGCTTCTTTTTGACAATCCAGATCTACAAGAAGTTGTGAAGACCTAGCAGTTATTCGAGGGTTTATTTTCTTTTGAGTTAAAGTGACAGTGGGGATAAAAGAGCTATTACAAGGTTTAAATCAAGTCAACTTCAAAAGCTAACCTAAAAGTAAACCGTAGATACTGCAACAGTAAGCTTGCTCGCTTGCATGGCTCTATAGACACGTTGTCCTTTTTAAATTGTTTCTCTCTCCTCTGTTAATGCTCAAAAGACCCAAATAACAACAGATTAAATCAGCTGAGTAACCATAAACTGGCACAACAGCTGACCTGATTACATGCAGGGTGCTGTCAAATGCATAAAACAAAATGGAATAAGAGCGCTGCTTCTCCAAAGGCTCAATATGGAACAATTACTGGGGAAAACACAAAATTTTTTTTCAAAGCAGCTGTCTTAAGCAGTTGGAAAATCGATGTCCACGTACAGATGCAAAAACCCCTAAGGCTGTAAAGAATGTAGCTTCACATTTTCCTTCTACTCCAAAGTAGGATCACCTAAAAATATAAAAGGACCAACATGCTAAGAGAAAAGGAAATTCCCTTTGTTAGACAGCTTTTAAATACATACCTGGACACGAGCCTCTGTGAGTTTGGCTCTTTGCGCAAGTTCTTCCCTAGTATAAATATCAGGGTAGTGTGTCCTCTCAAAAGCTCTTTCCAGCTCTTCCAGTTGCTCTGCCGTGAAGGTTGTCCTGCTGCGACGCTGCTTTCTTTTTAAAGGTAAATCTGGTTCAGAATCTATGTCAGAGCCTTCATCAGACTGGGGTGCTGATGCTCAAAAAAAAAAAAAGAAACAGAAATTAGCTTTAGTTGAGGGGAAAAAAATAGCAAAATATTGTATCAATTGATGATATCCTCTTATATGGAAAAGCTGCTTGTTCTCCATGACTCAGAACTGAGTTGGCAAACTTCAAAAAAGCAAAAAAATGAGAAACAAATCAGACAGAGTTAAATGTTACATTGTGCAAATATGCTCAAACAAATACAGAATTGTCAAAAGTTCAACTATGAGTTTAGCACCTTTTCCTGGCCTAAGAATATTTAAGGACCTCTACAAATCTTTTTGAGTTAAAACAAAGAAATTGAATAATTCATTAAGTCCTCCAGCAGTTTGCAAATGTTTTAAAAATCTGAGCAGTACAGCTTAGTTCCAAGCAATCAGACAAGCAATACGGCCTTGTTCCTTTCCCTGAACTAGTGAACAGATACAAGTGTCTGCCACACCGGTGTTGTAAACTAAAATGCTCCGACTCTACAGATACATGTCCATGAGACCTTCTCTAGAGTTCCATCACTAAAACCTTAGTGCTGAAATGGTTATGGAGGTGATTACAAAGGTATGGGGGGCGCTACTGGAGAAATTAATTCTCATACACACTCAAATATTTACTTCATGTCATGTATTATTTGTCCTATACTCTGAACAGTATTTCACATAAGTATCTCTCACATTTAAACACTCCCACCCATTTGCAACCTATTTTCCTGTCTTCGGACCACCTAACATAACCTCAGGACAGGCCAGACAAGTGTTAATATTAAAATACATTAAAAAAAAAAATTGAGATGCACGCTGCACAGAGCAGCCCTGCCAGAATAGCTTAGAGCAATAGTTTGACTTGACTCTTCCAGTGCCTAAAAGAAGGAGACTCCAGCGTATGTGATGACCAGAGCTGAAATACATGGACTGCATGCTTCCTTCCCCTAAGGTTTCATCATTATTCCTCCTAACCTTGGGAGGTTTTCCAGCACAGAGCACAGTTACACGCAGATGTGCTGATGCTCAGCCTCCAGGCAACAGTCCAGGACACGACTGCAAAACAGCCAAGTTGTGTTGGACCAAAGGCCCCTCATACCGCACCCCAAGTCAGTACTTAAGGAAAGCCGGCAAGAAACGGACCACGTACAGCGTGTCCGTGACGCAGGAAGGGCCTATCAACTCTTGCAATCAGCAGTTTAAAGAGAAATCTGAACCAAAACTCTTACTGGGTTTCAGGGATGTGGAGAGGGTGAGATCACACACACAGAAAGACAGCTCCTGGCATCACTGCTTGTTTCCCCCGAGCTCCCTGGCAATCAAGTGAACTCCGACTACAGCCCAGCCACGGCCAAACCCATAGCTACAGCTGTGAAGGCAGAAAAGCCTCTTCCAGTACCAGACCACATTCTCTTTCTCCAATAAACAGTAATGAACCAAAAGAGTAGACTTCCAAAGCCAGTCTTCACTTGTTTCAGCTGCTCTCCCAGGCAACAAGCATTCCTTCCTGCCCGAGTCTTCAAGGGAAACCACCTAAAGAGGGCAGACACTCCCCAGTGATGCTGAAACCGTTCATTCAGTTGAAATACAAACATTGCTTCTACTGCTTCAATAATTCCAAATGAATTATTGATATAGACACAGATTTAAAATAATCTTCTTAGCATGATTTATTTGGAAGTAACTGAGAACACAAAGCCAGAAAGAAATAACTGTTCCTCAAGCTCCAGCTAAAAGCCCACCACCACGTTCATTTCTAGCTATCTTACATTTCCAATTTCACTCAAGCTGTTTGAACTAATAAATACACCTTATCTGTTTACTTGGTCTTACAGCATGAGAAAGACAAAGTGCTTTTTTCTGACAACTCAGCTGAAGAGTTTATGAATTTCTGCATACAAAAAAAGAACAATTACTGCTAGACCAGGGGCTCTTATGCAAAAGCTATCTTCGTTGTCCAGACACCATCAATATTTTGTATCCAACATACACAGGACATCAGGAGAAATGCCCACAGAGCTCAGCATCGATGCACTGTGAAAACATCCAATTCCCAGAGTCTTAACTTACATGGAAATTTTGCCCCAGGTAAGACTGGGTTAAAATGGTTCTGGTTCTTGAGAATATTGTCCCCAAGATCAAAAGGGAATCATCACAAACAGCCTATCCTGAACAGTCCAAGTTCATTCCTTATTAAACAGGCAATCTAGGGTACCCCAAAATGAACATAACACGTTATCTGAACTAGTGACAAATCCCAAATCTTCTCAGTTGGGGTCCCAAGAGAATCAGTGACACCTGCCTTCCTCAACAACTGCCAAGTTACAACCCTCCAGGATGGCTTCATGTTGCTCAAGAACAAAAACAAACATAGGATATTTAAAATATAGTTAAAATATGCCTATAAGAATATCCCTATAAAAATATGCATAAAGTATGCCTTTAAAAAGCCAGCTTAAACTATGAAATTTGAAGTCAATATTTACACTAAATTTCTGAAGTGAATATCCTCACCAACTGGGTGGGAAGTATCAGGAGACCTATATTGATCTTTCTAAAAATGTCTTATAAAGACTTTGCAAAATCTTGTGATGTTTCCCTGCACCTTGCATTCATGCAGCAATGAGAATGCAGAACTGAAACGCTGACTTAATTTCATTTTCATTTTAGCTTCACATTTCATTAAGCAATGTATGAAAGGCACAAAGGTAAGCCTGTCGAGAAAAACTGAACAAAGTATCTAGGAGTCCAGGACAATATACCTAATCAAATGCAAACATTTACAGCAAAAGTAATAAAATTAAAGTAGGGCAAAAACGTGTATCAAATGAAATGGCTTTGCTATCTATCTGATTGCACTGATGTTACCCCTTTGCCAGGCCTGGCTGATATGTGCAGCTTTATTGAAGACTTTTGAGTTGCTTTGTCTTGTCTGATCTGCAATATTAAAATCAGACAAATGTAATCTCAAATTATAGCTACACATCTGTATTAAAAACTGCACTATTTTTATTTCGTACAAAGCCTTCTTAAATATTATTAGTTTAAAGGAAATTTTTATTCTTATTTTTCCTATTAAAATACCATTATTAGACTTTTATACAGGTGAGAAGCCAATTGGCTAAGCACATAAACTGGACACACCTCAGCCTTTAAAAAAGCAGTATTAATTTTACATATGCTCAATAGCCATAGCGTAGCCCTTTTGCTAAGCAGTATCTCGCTAACAGATCCACCGATTTCCATGATACAAAACGATAGTATTCAGCACAGGTAAAGGCAGTCAGATTTTAGCTGGGTTATTTCCATCTCCATCACCTCCAGAGTCACACAACACACATACCGTTAGCCTTTACGGTTGTCCCGATGATCTTAATACTCCAGCCCCTCGAGCTATAAATAGGAGCAAGAAGGAGACTCACCAGTGTCCTGGGAGATTCCCAGCCAGACTCCTCGGGGTTGCCGGTCCCCCCCTTACTGCACAGCTCAAAACAGGAGAGGCAGCCGAGAGTGCCACCAACAGCTGAGCCATTAAGTTAGATTAAAGAAGGAATTACAGAATTAAAGTGCAATTATTTGTCCCTTAACCCCTCACGACCTGTCTGGCGGCCTGAGGAAGTGCTGCGTGCACTTATCACCACGATATCAGAACTCCTCTGCCCGGCGTCGCAGGCATTCGGTCACCTGGAGCTCTGCAACCATCCCTTTGCCAAACACCACAGACAGACACGTCGGGGCAAAAACCGAACAACAAAATAACGCACGAGAGGTCATTCTGCGGGTTGTTCTTCCTCTCAGCAAGACATTTCATTTGAATAATTAAATAACAAAAACATGACAACCGTTTAAACCCCATACATTACGGCTGCAGCACAGCGCACCTGAAAAACACAGGCAGAGAGTTTCTCTTTCTGCGACCGGCGAAGGCGCAACTTCTCTGGCAGCCCTTCAGTCGCTGTGACTTTTTTTTAATGAGGTATTACACAGCCCTCTCCTCTAAGCGTACCAGCCTGGGGTCTGCCCCAGATAAATTCTGTCTAGCCACGGATCTCGCTAACCAGAAACACCCAATACACCAAAGGCCGGGGAGGGTTCTGGTGATGGTTTGTTTGCCAGCTACCCTCCTCGGACCTCCTCATTTCTTTCTTTATGCACGACGAGCTCCACAGGCTCTCCCCCTCGTGCCACACCTCTATGACTTAAGGCGGCGGCCGGGGCATCCCCAGCGCCGGGGCTAAGCGTGGCGTTCCGCAGCGGGA